TAGTGACAACTTTTTCACAAACGGCACTGAGTCTTCCTAAGCCAGCCAGTAACAAAAAACACATAAACAAAAAGCCTATCTCTGTCAGAGGTCTACCTAAAGATAGAAAACAGTTTCACCCTCACTGAATAAAGGTGCCAAGCTAAGCTTTTAAACACCTGCTAAACAAACACATTTTCTCAGGTCTCAGTCTACCTCAATGCAGCAGCCTGGGAGGTCTGTGTTTAAGGGCCCGTTCACACCATATGCAGTGCGTTCTGGCCAGAACGCACTGCGTCGCATTGCGGCCGGTTCACTTTTTTGTTGGGGCAGGAGGGGCCGCAATGTGATCGGCCGCACGGGATCGCAAGACACATTATGCCTGTTGTGCGATCAAAATGCTGCAAGCACTTCTTGGAGAGAAGCAGCAGCAGACGCCCGGGCGGGCCGTATGGTGGATAAGCATGCACCGTGCGAATGATGAGTGGAATCTGATGAAGTACCTGTGCGTTGCGTTGGTTCCCTAGATGTCCATTCCTCGATGGTCCCGGGTGAGAGAGGTGTACCCACCTGAGTCTAGTGGACTTTTCCATCTTGCGGAGTCTGCTCAGCCTCTGTTCTCAATCAATGCCTATCTTCTCCGTTGGCGACAGTTGCGTCTATGCATTTTATTTACATGTGAATTGTTTTGTTGATTCTAGTTGCCAAAAGATCCCCTGACGAAGCTTGAAAGAGCGAAACACGTTGGAATAACTACCCACTATTCTTTGCCCTGGACATATGCTTTCATCCATCTCTGAATACCTATGTTTGGCTATGCTATCTTGGACATGTGTTTATTGTGCATAGTTTCATTTTCAATAAGGGCTTGAGGTGTTTTTTTATTAGGCAATTGTCCATCATATCATTATGTGTTAACCCTTTGTGTTAACCACACATGTGGTAATCAGTGGCTTTGTGCTTTTCTGTAATTGTGGTGTTCCTTCTTACATATGAATCATGTTGTTGATCCTACCATGTGTAATAAAATTATATTTTAACTCAATTAATCATTATTTTTGCCTCACTTGAAACCCCATTTTTTCTGCCTTTCCTATATATACTTAGCCATGGCTTATGCAGTAAAGCTGAAATCCAGGTATAAATATTTATGTTTTTATTCTGGCTTGGCCTAATGTAACAATACATATTATATGCCTGGTAACTACAATTAACAAATGCATACTTTTTTTAATGAACTGCGCTTGTACTATCTATAAAGTGATACATTCAATATCAGCTGCTGCATACACCTCAATAAAGGCTCCAAAATTCAATATTTTTTTCTCTTAAAGTACAGTGCTCTGAATTAAAACCTCTCACCACAACCCCTTTCAGTGGATACGAGGTGATACAATCCAACTTAACACCAACAATTGTGACAAACTATATAATTGAGTCCCTTAAATTATATGTATGTGCCTTGAAATTGCTTCACAAAACTTTTGTATTCATCATTCACAAAAATTGTAACAACCAATTTTTCACCAGTGATGTCTTCCACCATGTTTCCCTTATTATAGTGAACTCACCAGAAATTGTGCGACCCTGTATGAACATACTAGGACAACAGAGGTTTATTTAGTAGTTTATTTGTCACAACTGTTGGTGTTAGGTTGTATTTTATCACCTTGTATGCACTGAGTGTTGTTAAGGGGGGACTGACAACACATGGGGCCCCCGGGCAATACGAGATTGTGGGGCCCCTTTGTGCTCTGCCCATATACAAGCCCCACCCATTCACAGCCGCCACCCACATATTTTTTCTGATTCTTTATTTTTATCACTTTTAATTTTTTTATTCAATTATTTCTTCTTATTTTTTATTTATTTAATTATTTTTTAATCAATTTCATTTTTTTAGATTTTTATTTATCTTTTTACTTTTACTTTTTTATAATTTACCTTTTTTATGGTTATTATCTTATTATTG